CCATGGGGCAGCCACAGCTTCTCTGGACAACCTGTGCCAGTGATCAACATCTTACTTAGGAACATATTCTAAATACTCAAAAAACGCTTTCTAAACTCTTTCTAGGTGACCCTCAAGAGGATAAGACTGACATCTTTGACTTTCCCATCCCTTCAAGAAACATTGATAAAACCATTAAACGAAAGAAGAAAAAGGTATAAAGTGTGGCAGCTCAATTAGCTGCCTTGGCATTTGAGAAAGCTGCTTGTTCTCTGTGTGTGAGAGCATGAGGGAGATTAAATGATGGAATTGGTAGCCTGTTACTGAAAACCTTACTTACAGAAAAGAAAAAATGGTATTATCTTCCCTCTCTGGAGGCTTTAAAATTCTGGCTCTTATTCAATAAAGCACTTAAGTGTGTGCTTACCTTGAAAAATGAGAATATGCTGTTGACTTAAAAAGCCTGTATGAAATGCTTTGCTGGACTGGGGCCAGGGTGCAGCACACCTTGGGGTGAAACCCAGCAGGAAAAAGCTTTGCAGCTCCTCTTCCTCTCATGTTTTAAACAAAGAAATCCCGCAGGTTACAAATAAGCAAAGGCAGCAACCTGAGCTATTAACACCATCCTTGGAGCAATGCAGAATTACTTTATGTTTCACAAATGTGTTTCTGTTCCTGTTCAGTAGTTCAACAAATGGTTGAAATTTTAAGAGGAACATTTGTTAAGCAGTAACTCATTATGAGATTCTGTAATGTGTGAAGTACAAGTAATCAGCTGGACTACAACAGAGCCATGTCATAGATACTTGATTTAAAAACAGCAAAATGCTACCAACTGCAGAGGAACAGCTAATAACATCCTGGAATATGGCTCTTTGGTGCATTGAATAGTCTTCAAACCCAATGAGGAATATATAGAATGTTTTAGCAATAAATGTCCCTGAGAAAGGAATTATCTTTAGATTTAAACAAGTTTCTCAGATGACGTCCAACAAAAGTCCAAACATCAATGTGTCAACAGCCATTTCTATTTGTCAGGCCACATCTGCCTGAATGCTTTTGTCCACAATTCCAATTTAATCTTTTCAATGGACAAGTTTGAAATGTGCCCACTATGGATGGAGCTTTATGCCTCTAAAGTAAAGGTTTTCAACATCTATAAAACAAAATAATATGGATTTGATATGAGATAGGCAAGAGTGTTGCTGTTCTGGAATCTGAGTTTGGGGCCTCCATTTCTCTGCTGCTGAGGGACCACATGGGAAACATTTTGCTCCTGAAAAACTACATAATCTTTTTTTTTCCTCCCCATTTTGGATGACTTTGAAGAGAGCTTAATGGCTCTACACACGTTTTCATGAGGTTTGCTTATCTAGAAGGGCACTTCTCAAGTACTGGAAAAACACAAAAATTCTAGGCAAGAAAGGAGGTGGAGATTTCATGTAAAAAATCATGGAGGAATTTATGTTTCTGACTTTTAAATAGAAGTGATTCTTCCATATATCCCACCTTCCCTTTTCCCTTCCTCCCCAGTCCTCAACAGAAAAACCTAGCTGGACTTCACATCCATTGTGGGGAATTCAAAGTCCTGCCCTACAGAAGTTTTAATGCAAACTTTTTATATGCTTCACATTTTATCTTTCAGTGCAAAGTCTGGCACAAGGTCTGGAAAGTGATTTCAAAAATGCTTGAGGAAAATGAAAGGCTCAGAAGTCGACTGTTGATCTGCAGCCAGTTAGATGGAGGAGGTAGGAAATGAAATGCTAATATTTTATTTTACTAGAGAAAACAAATTATTAATACAAGTGAAGATCCCAAAGTTTAAGGTCCATTCAGCTGGTTTTTTTGAGTAGTAGGTTTTATAACTCACAAATGGAATTCATTCCATGCTTTAGGCACTTCCAGCTTTTTTGGAAAAACTCTTTTGTTTCATGGAGGGTCTTGTATGTGTGAATTTGGAGGAAGCATGGTGGAAGTGTTTGCTGCAGCCTGACATTAAAGACATGCACATCAAACATCTGCAAGTTTTTCTGAACATGTGAAATACGTAATTAAACTTATTCACAGATGGGCCCAAGGCAGTAGTTGTATGAATAATAATTTATTTTTTCACGTAGGAAAATAGTGGTTGATTTCATACATACAATAAATAAATTAGATGCTCCCCAAAGGTTGCTGTAACACAATTTAACAAAACCATCGAACATGTTCTCACTCTGTGCCCTGAATGCAGCTCTTTCATTATTGGAAAATGACTTGGGAATTAAAACTGGTGCTCTGCATTCAGCCAATTTCAATTAGAGACATTGTAGCTGCTGCACAATTTAAGATAATACAGTGTATGCTTACAAATGGAATTGGAATTTCTGGCCTCACAGTTGGATGAATTATTAGGAAAAAGAATATACTAATCCATAAAGAGCTACCAGGCAAGTTTAAAATGCCACTTTCAGGCACAGCACTTTTGCTTCCTTTGCATTGGTGCTGATGGAAGTTTTCCACATGGGTGCATGTTGGGGTGTATCCCAAAATGTAGGACCATTCCAGGCAGTGTCTTATTTGGTAAAATGTTGAATTAGATTTCCACACACATGGCAAGAAAATACACCCTCAAAAATCTTCTTTGTGAGAACAAAAGAAGTTCTGGTTCAGAATAGAAATCTCTACCCCAGTGGATGTTATTGAATAGGAGAAGAAATTCCACTGAAATATGCTTCAACAACTTCTGCAATTATTGTGCAAATATTCTGCATTGGGTGCAAAACATTTCTTCTGTTGGCTTTAAACCCAATTCCTGATTACTTCTGGAATTATGACATGATATTCATTATTCATCATGTGCTATTCATATTCATATTCATATTCAAAGTTCCATTGGCCTCTGTTATATTTCTGTGCTAAGAAGTTCCAATCTAATAAATCTCCCTTCCCATGGAAGCTGTTCCATGTGCCTTCTCCCACAGCTGAGATCATTGCAGAAGTGTTTGTGCAAAGCTATGAATGTATATGTTGGACATATATTTATGTGTAAGACACACACATCCATGGATGTGTAGGACAGTGAATTTAAAAAAAAAATCTTCTTGGATATGTCTGTTTGATTTCAAGAAAAAGAAGAAGTATTGAGAAAAAAAAGGAGGGGAAATCTTTAATAGATTATTAGATTTCAAGTTATTGTAAGAAAAAAACCCCAAATTCTGCTTTTATATGATTTTCTGGGTGGATTTGCCATCTTACCCTAGTGGCTGCTCTTCTGTTTGTTATGGATCACCATGTGCTGTTTAATCTTGGATTTATGGACAGGGTCTGTCCCCTTTTCAGCCACTCATTTCTTTCAGAGAAAGAACATTTTCTTTATATTTAATTTCCAGTGACTTGAAAAACCTCACCAACCAACCAATCCTTCCTCCTCCCCTCTTACTCTATCCTTAGTTGTAATTTTACCCCCTTTCTCAGAAGCTTTAACTGAGAATCTCCTGTTAAGTCCTATTTCTGTGAAAACCATCAATTCTAATGCCTTCTTTCTAATTAGCAGATTTTGCACAACATCAAATCTAGGAGATAAGTCTCCTATTGATCTGAATTTTTCATTATTCAAGAAGCAAATTGAAAATTCTAGAAGCTATTTAGATAGGGATCAACAAGTCTGAATAAACTGGGTAAATTTTTATCTTCTTTTTTTCCCCTAGATTAATAAATCTAGAAAATTAATGCTACATTTTATTGCCTCTATAAATAGGGGGGTTTTTTTGAGAGAACAAAAGTCTACTTGAATTTTAATGCTACCTATTTACTCCTTGGAATGTTGCAATTAAGATTAGATTCCATGTGACTGCAGATTATGATTTTCCTCCACCTGATGTTCTCCTGCAGGCTCTGGCAGGATCCAGAGGTCACAGAATGGAGCATACCTGGACACGGTATGTAGGCAGTCCATTAAAGGCCAAAAAAAACCTAAAATAAGCAAATTAATAGTATTAAAAACATGCACTGATCTTGTTTAATGTTATTATAGTAAGTGCCAGTTATATTCTAAAGTATTACTGACAATGAGCTCAAATATTTTCAAGATTTCAGATTTGGGGCCAGAGCAGCTCCATCCTCACAGGGAGGGCTCTGAGCTTTGCCAAGGCAAAGGGAGATTTTTTGCTTTTTTCTTGAGCTAAATCCTTCCCTGGTGGTCTAAAGTACAATCTGAAGTATCTGAACCGTCTTCATTTGTCCCACTTGATATAGAGACTTTTAAAAAAAATATTAATGGGAATGTACCAATTCACTTTTGTCACTTTATTTTTTTTCTGTAGGATGAGTCCATCTTTGGCTGGGTGTAGCAAGGAAATAAAAGAAGATTCAGCCCCAGAGGAAATATAAACAAAGTGAAAGCTTTTATTTTGATCTAGTTCTTCCTGGAGTCAGTGCAAGATTGCAAAGTGACTTCAGGGAACACAGGTTCTCTGCTGTTTGCTTGGTGTTTGTGCTTCTGCTGTTTAAGAGGTTTGTTTTTACAGTGGCTTAAACAGCTCTGTTGCAAGATATTTATCTCAAGCCATTAAGTTTCACTGAGCTATTAGTTTTAGAAAGCTTTTTAATGAGCATAATATTGTGACAGTTTTCTTGCAAAAGAAGAGATACACATTTACTGTTGTCTCTGTATTTATATCTTTTATTTTTGTAGCTTGTCAGAATAATAAACACAAATTCAGTAAGGCAGAACTCCACACAAGACATAAACCCCACTTTTCTTTTTTCCTGGTTTGCATAAATTTGTCTTTATGATATTAAAATATTACACAATAACCCTCTCTGTTCTTTTATCTATTTATGCATGAATCTCAGCAAGTATTTCGAATATGAAACCAGGTGAATGTTTTCTCTCTTTATTCATCCTGAGGCACATAATGGTACCATCACAATCAGGAGATGTTGTTTATCTACCTGACTTCAATAACACAATATAATTTTCTTCTGTTATGCAGCTTAATACTTGAACCCTTGATTGACTGTTAAAGCCTTTTAAGCCAGCAAATTGTGTAAATGGAACATGAAAACTGCATAAAAATAGTTATGTATATGGGGTTCATCTCAGGAGTAAAACATTCACCTGTCACATTGAGACCTCCTTGCTTTCAATAAAAGGATTGTTTCCTCCTGCCATAATGTCTTGGTGTTTGCAGATATAATGACTGCAGTGTCAGAGTGCTGAGCTTTAATAACACACTGGTGATTGTGTCATTAGGCAGCAAAGCACTTGGAAAGGTTTCATCTCTGTTTTCTTCATGGTAAAACTGCAAGTGTGGAACTGGAATGCACCTTTTCAGGGACAGCTGCAGCATCAAGGTTCTCTTCTGGTTTGTGGTTGGGTAATATTTGGATTTTACTTAAAATAGTTGACATTTCAGCTTGGAAAAGGAAATGAGAAGGCAAAGTATCCAATCAAGATGTGATCATTTTTCTGGCAGAATAAAAATGTCATAGTTCTTTGGTATTTTCAAAACACATATTTAGAGTCACACATGGGATTTTGGGGAGGGGGTGTGGTTTGAAGGGGTTTTTTTTACTAAATGAGATTATCTCCCTTTCCCCACAGTTCTATCAATGAAATGTTTGCTTTGGGAATATTTAGTTTATAATTTTGGTTTGTAAATTGCAGAATTGCTGCTCTAACTTTTCTTGCAAATTGCAGCTGCAGTTGGTGCTTTACTGGCACGGACTTCAGGGGCCCTGGAAACACTTTTCTTCCAGATGCATAATTGCTACTTTAACAGGATAGATGAGATGCATTAACCCAAATCTCCACCTGAAGTTTAGCCAACACATTAAGATTCTTTGGATAAATACAGACCTCTGTCTGTGGGGCTGTTTTAAAAAAAATTATAGAAGATAAGTATGGCCTTAAATCATCCCTGTGTACCTCCTACAGTCTAAAGGGTCTGTGTGGTGATGATGAGATAATTAATTGGTTGGGATCTACTAATCAAGAATTTTCATCTGGCAGTACTTTGAAAGGCTCTTACATTTTTCAAATCAATTTAGGCCAGAGCAGCTGTTGCAGTGAGGAAAAACTGCTGATTCAAGTTCAGTTTTTGACTTTTTGGGTAATGAAGTCTGGCTTTCTGCTGTAATGACCAGATTTCAAAGGTACAGTTGGGAACAAGGGTCATCAGAGCAGTTACACTGCTGAAAAAAGAGCCTGGAAAATAACCCAGCTCTAGCTCTGCAAACCAGATCACCATCCCCATCCACTTAGACCTCTGTGCATTCCTTTTTAATTCATGTGTGTAAAATGCAAAATAAATGTAATTTTAGTGTTCCATTAAAATATCTCCAAGTAAGGAATGTGCGCAACAAGGAGAAAAAGGGTTGGATAAACACTAAAAACTTCATTGAAACCCTCTTTGTTAAAAGAAGTGAGAAATAAATAAGAGACCTTCAGGGCACTGGATCACAGAGTAGAGATTCAGAAAAAAACAGATTCTTCTCTGAAGACTTTAATGTTCACTGCAGAACCAAGAGCAAGTGTCACACTGCCCCTGCTGTGGCTCCTGGGCTGCACTGCTTTTCCTTCACATTCTTCAAAATGCAGATCAGTTACCTGAAGTTTTTAATAACAAATCTCCCCTGGAGTGTGAACTGAAGCAGATGTGCAAATACAGAGGTCACACTTTGTCTTTGCTTTGCCTTGCTCTCAGTGCATAATTTACCTTTCTATACAGAACACAAACTCCAGCTTATTCCCAAAGTTTGACATTTCTTCATCTCAATTCTGTGAACAGCTGCCAGGAAATCTGAGGAGGCTCCTTGTGGTACAGAGGTGGAGGAACAGCCAGGACACACAGAGTAGCCAAAGGCACCGCTGCTGAATTTCGGTTATCTGTAAACAATGGTGTCAGACACTTATCTCATGATCCAAAAGCTGGTCTGGATAAGCTCTTCTCCCTTATAAATACATACATAAGGGATGTCATAAATACAAAAGACTTTGGATGAAGATAAGCAGTGGAGAGTAAAGCCTTTGGGGTTTGTATCACTGTTCCATGCTAGCTGGAGATTAATTGATCGAAGTTCAGCTGGAAATAGCACATCCTGAAAAGTTTTGGTTGAAGTTATCCCATTTGAGAAGTTCTTGCCTGATTGCTGGAGCAGCTCAACCCAGGCAACTCTGCCTTGCAGTTCTCTGTCCAGGGTCTGGGGGCTCAAAACTCCAGCTGGTGGCCTTGGGCTACCACTTCCACAGGCTGTAAAGATGAAAAGGGAAGTGCTGGGAGCCTGAGCTCCACAGTGATTTCCATGTCTGGAAGCACTGAGGTCTTGGCTGAGGCCACACTGCTGGAGCTGCTGCACTCCCTGCCGTGGAGCTGTGGCTCTGGGCAGCCTTCCCAGGGTGTCCTCTGCAGCCTCTGCACAGGAGCCAGGGAGCTTCAGGAGCTCCCACAGCTGCTGTGCGCTGCTGCTGCTGCTAGGGACAATGTCACTGATCAGCTGCAGCCTTGGGAACTTGGGAATGGTGTTTTGATGGCTCTGGAGTGACCCTTCTGGGAATTTCCAGTTTGTGGGCATTTTCAAAAGAGTTTGTTTCTTGCTTGTTTTGGCCCAAAGCCACCAGTTGAGATAAAAGCCCGTTTCCTGCAGGCTGGAGGCTTGGAGGCTTGGCTTGCCCAGCAGCTCCTCTGCTCATGCCCCATCTGCTCTGGAGCTGGGATGAATCAGATTCCTGTGTCCCACCAGCTGAGGCTCTGCAGTCCCATGGCCTCTGAGCTTATCATAACTTGGTCATTACAACATAATCAATCACCAAGGTTAATAATATTTCACTGCTGATTCCTTCCATGAAAAGATTTTTGCTCTGAAGCAAAACATGAGAGCAGGACGTGGAGTTTCCAACACGGTTTGATTTTGGAGAAGTAGAAGGTGACCTTTGTCTTCACTGAACATTTACATCCAGTAAATGTCTTTGTCTTTAGGGCCCTCCCTGGTAGCCAATGTTCATGTTTTAACTTCAAAGCTTCTAATACAATTTTGCATGGACTCTGACTAAGGGATAGCCTTCAGCAGGCAGCTGAATTGTAGTTTTCTTTGGGAGGAGGAAGTGACTGAAAGCAAATTTTGGGCATATATGACATTTTGCCTGTGCAGTAGGCCCTTAAATATAAGGCAAACCAGAACTTTGATTTATAGCTCCTGTAAATAACTCTCAGTGACATGGGCAGGTTTGTGTATTATGTTTCTTTTCATTGCATAAGCACTTATATAACTCTGATGGTTAGAATTTGCATAAAAACCAAAGCAGTCATGTATGGGTTTAGCATCATAGGCTTTCCAGCAAGCTGAAGCAGCAGGAGAACCTATGGTTTAAGAGGAATTTTACTTTAGGAGGAAAAGAGGAAGTTTTATTAAGCCACAGTGGATTTTTAATAAATATTCACTGGAAGTTTCTCACTCATTAGTGATGGCATCAGGACCCTCTGATCTGAGGCAGAAAAATTCACATTTGAAAGCTTCGGCCTAGGGAAAATTAATGTGGGTAGCTGCAGTTTCATTTTATTGGGGGAAAGTTATGGAGGCCCCTAAGGGAAAAAGGAATATGCCGTGATCCAGGGAGGTAATCACCTCCTGGAAGATGCTGAGTGCTTTGACGTCCCAGTGACTGTGGCACCTATTTTATCTGTCTATTGTGCTGAATGTGTGGAGCAGATTAAGAGAGCATCTCTTCTTCTTTCTCTAAACTTGGACTCCACATTTGCATCTCACCCGAGGCGCTCAGCTGAGCTGTGGAGGTTGCTGGGCTGGGCTGGGCTGTGAACAAATCTGATCTGTGTCATCTCCCAGGGGTCACGACAGGATCCCTCCGTGCTGGGAATGTGTGAGATTTATTGCACTCCTGGCAGTCCTGTTTGAGGAGGAACAGAGGCACATTGAAAGAGCTGTGCAGGAAGGCTCAGGATGGCACTGACCAATGTTCCCTCTCTTCCAGAATCTTTGTAATCTCCTGTATTTTGAATTAATAATAAACTATCATGGCTTTTAGTTTTTTTCCCCTGTTCTGCTGTATGATTGTTTTCTGGTTCCTGCTGTGTGTGACAGGAAGTCAGTGGTGCTGGTGGAACTCTGTGGAATGGATGAACTCCTCACAGCAGTGACCACAAATAGTTAAACCCAGCTCAGAACTTACGTGGTCACTTTTTATACCTCATTGTATTTAAATTCCTTCAGCTACAGAAAGGGTAAAAATTGTTGAGTATGGTGCTAAGTTGTCTGTGATCTCCCAAGGAGAAGAGCACTGTACTGATTTCCACTGCTGGATTGGACTAATGAACTCAGGTGAAAGTTTGAGAAACAGTCTTTTGGTAGAACAGTCTGAGGTGGATGCTGTTACTTCTAGGATTGCCCTATCATAACTATTGTGACTTCCTGAAAATTTGTCCTCACTCAGTACCTTTAA